AGGGGTATAAACTCTACGTGAAAGGGTGTAAATAGATATTTCAGATTCCGTGGTTACTAGTTACAAATACTTTCCAGTGATGTATCCCGTCTTATTCACTATAGTCTTACTAATTACGGCTATTAGTTTCCAAAGTATAATAGTGCCATTTAGGGTTGTATTTTCTACCGTGAGTACTGTACTGTGGATATATGGATTAGCTTCTTTTGTCTTTTGCAACGACTACTTTGACTTCATCGACATCATGGCAAACACTAGTGGACTGTATTGGAGTGTCCCATTATTCACATTGCCTATCATTATGGGACTGTCGTCAGACTATGACGTATTCCTCTTTTCAAGAATAATGGAGATGAGACGGAAAGGGTATTCCAATACGTTATCTATGATCATCGGGGTTGAAAAAGGAGGGTATCTGATATCATACGCAGGTATTATAATGGCAGTGGCATTCTCTGGACTCTTTTTGAGCTCTGTCCTAATGATGAACCAATTTGCCTTCATTCTAATGTTTGCAGTACTGTTGGATACGTTCGTCATTAGAGCACTAATACTCCCAGCAGTGGTAACGCTGCTGGGGGAGCTCAATTGGTTCCCAAGAAAATATGAAACGGTGTGCGAGACGTACGAGGAATATATAACAACGTTAAAGAATGAAATATGTGATGACGTGTGATTGACTATAAATTATAGTTTGTTATTAGTTTCTATTAATTGGACTTTTATAGTTTATTAATATTATTATTAATAGTAAAAATAACGAAAACATTATTAATAAAACAGTTATAATAATTAATTATTATTTAATTATTTATTAATAATTAAACAATTAATAGAAGAGAAATGAAGATGAAATGATTTTAGTCATAAAAAAATTCATAACTTAAATGAATAGATACTTGTGGTTGTTCTAAAAATCAAAAACACCAAAAATTCAAAGAAAAATTGATGCTATATACAATAGTAAAATATACTATATACCATTTATTTATGAAAGATAACTGCGTTCCAGAGGACTTTTCCAATGTTATTAATTTATGAAGAAACGAAACTTTTCACAAATGACAGAGAATACATTGAGTCGTATAACTGAAGACGACTTAAATAAAGTAAATGAGTTATTAAATGGGATTAATGAGAATGAACAGTACAATGAAGTGTTCCATATCTTTTCCAAATATTTAAACGATTTATTGAGTCGAGTAGTCTACATAGAGAAAGTGATAGAAAAGAAGCTATTAAAAACTAATTTGGAAATGAAACCGATACCATCTGATCGTGGAATGCAAAGTGTTTCTCCTCATTTCAATAAAAGTATGGGAGAAATCCCATACTGCCAAGTCACACCACTTTTGGCACAAGCCACTTACGTTCCGCCACGTCATTCCGATAAATTTGTTGGTCCAATGAGAAGCCGTTCGACAAATAACACGATGACTTCAGCATATGAAATTGAGTCATTGATGATATTAGAAAAACACAAAGAGACATTAAGGAGTTGGTCCGAGAAACGGTCGTTTCGTGTTATATACGACTCGACAATTGACAGTTTTAATTCGACGACTTTCAACGCTCAAGTTGTTGGACTCAATAATGTGATGGTCTTAGTCTTTGATTCCAAAGAAAATGTCTTTGGTGGGTACACTGAGAAGTGTATTCCCGTCTGTGGCAAAGACGAGTACAAGTACATTGAGAACGACCAAAAGTTCTTTGTATTTTCATTAGAAAATCATCAGTCAGCAGATTCGATTAAAATCGAGCGAAAGAACAGTGAATTAGGGTTTCGAATGTCTAACGATGGGAACTGTGTGTTTGGTATCGCCAACTTCTTTTCTGTATTTAAAACAAGACAAGGGTATATCCACCCGACCTTTAAAAAGTATTATACAACCGACAAAGAAGCTATTCTATTTAACAAAACGGTCTTTCCTGAGAGATTTGTTATTAAAGCTTTTATCGCAGTCCAGTGGATATAACTACTATTTGTTTATCAAACAGAGTGTCGGACTCTGTTTGATACTTATTACTCAATTAAAGTATTATTTGGTTTTTTAGTATTTGTACTATATATAAACTAAGGGTATCTATCTGAATAATAATATTCTACTATGCAAGCACAAACATTCAACTACAGGTGCAAAAAGTGTAGAACACTTCTTTTCACGGAAAATGAAGTGCAGCCACACGAGCCAAA